TTGTCGTCTAACCTCAGAGAAGACCCAAACCCTACTCTGCTTAAATTTCGGGATCAGACAAAATGGTCGTGGGTAAAACACACTCTGTGTGTGTGCCAACATGCTGATCCCCATCAAAACCAGCAGGCAGGTCCCAAGGATACCCAAAAGTCAGGGGAGGTGAGTGAATAAGCTGTCTGGGTGGGTTTAAACCATGACACCGGGTCTGCAGACGCCACTGACGGGCCATGTTTGCTGTCAGGGCAGAACTGAGAAATTTTTTTAATTCTTGTTTAAATCCTTAACTCAGAGAGATTTGAGTCTCTCTTTGTGCATTTTTGTTTGCTAAATAGTAGTTGATTTTATTAACCGAATGATTCAGCTCTGCTTATTCATCCCAACTGGCTAAACGACCAGTAGTCAGTAACAATGCTGGGCTGCCTTCCTGTTTTACTTGTGTCAAAACTGCCCGTGCTTTCGTAAAAGAACATGTTGCATGTAAACCAAAAGATTCACAGCTTAATCTGTTTGTGTTTACTGCAAACCTCAGGAAGAAAGATAAAGGTATGTAACACCTGAGACTAAGAGTTGGTGAGGCCCATTGGAAATGCAGCAAAGAAGGATTGGTTTCACAGAGTACTTTATTTGGCTGCTTCCTTCTCTGTGTGAGCTACAGTTGCAATTAGTAGGTCTGCATCCAAGTAATGCAGGAGACCTTGGCATTATGAGCTCTTAAATGGGACAGGTGGCACAATGAGGTGATGGATAGATGTCCCTAGACAGGAGCAGAGCTAAAGCAGTGGGGTTCTCAAACTGGCTGTAGTTTCTCACCAGGCCATTGGCAGATGGCAAAGGAATTAATGAGAATTACAAACTCAGTTGTGCTTGAAATGATTGCTCTGTGACTACCTTCCTTCTCCAGATTTTTTCTCATCTGTCTCTAAGGCAGGTAAGATGTAATATCAATAGGCAGGATGCTTTTATTTGGAAAGCATTTCCTGCACTTAAATCACTGCTGCTTCCACATTCTCCAGATCAATAATAAAATTTTCACTGTCTGCTGAAAACTGTTTCAGTAAAAAAGAAGGGGAAATGAGGCTTGAAAAATACTGGTTTTATTGAATACAGATATGATTAATACAACATAATATGATTGGAATATAGTTTGTATCCTAGAAACATTGCCAACTTAATGCCAAGATTTGGTGCACTGCAAAGGTCTTATTGCAAAATTGCTTATGCTTTCAGCTGTAGCATTTCCCTTCTCATCACATGGGAAGAGACATGGGAAAGACGGCTTTACTCTTTCCCAACTCACTCCAAAGCACAACATAGAATCATAGAATAGTTAGTAACATGAGTAAACAGGTTTTGCCCCCCTTCCTCAAGTAGGTGTTGGTGTCTAAGCCGTCCTTGCAGTTTGGAGGAGAGGGAAGTTTTCACACCCACATCTTATTTTTGAAATGTTTTACTTTACCTGTTGAGTCTGGAAAAGGTACACTCAAGCAGAAGGTAGGGTTGGGTTGTTGCTGCGTATGATCTGGGAGCAAAGGTGGCAGCTGAATTAAGAACTGGTTGTTCAATCAATCTAACATTTTAACTGTAGCTGAATTGTATCAGTTTTGTGTCTTGCTTTCCACAACTGAGAAATGAGACTAATGAATTTGTACCTTGTATAGAAAAATTCTGGATTGCATAGATGAAAAACAAAGTATAAGTGTGGGAGTTTTATACGTGAAAGATTGAACTGAGTGCTTTTAAAAGCTGCTGAGCTTGTAATGTTCTACAAAGAATTACTTGTTCTTCTGTTCAGATACTGTTCTTGTCAGTTTATTGGTACTGGACTCCAATACAAATGTTCTAAAGAGGCTCTCCTGCTTAGATTAATTAAGGGTTTGTCTTTAGTTTTATCATGATTTAAGGACTACAGGCTTTGAGGCTCTTTTGGGGAGATACTGAGCTGTTTTGCTTCTTTCCAAGTTCTCTGCACAATATAATTCTTTGTGTCATACAGAAATAGTATAATGGATAGAGAAAGGATTTGGTAGATGTGACAACAGTAGCCTTCAGATTGTTCTAGCAAAAACCAGTGTTGTGTATGAAGCCTCGACTATTGCACATCCACTGTCTGCTTTTTCACATTTGCACGTTTCCAGTTTAACAGGTGCAGATTTTGCACATTTCAGAGGCTGGTTTAGCCATTAGTGTTTCCAAGCTAAAGGCAGATGGGGAAGCTAAATTGTTCCTAGTATGCTTTGAGCTGGATGTTTTTTCAAATACCAATGTGGTGCTGAGTGGCTGCTACCCATGCCGCCTTTGTGTTGCTGCTCTTCCGAGGTCTGGAGCAGTAGGTTCCCAAATGTTGGCATTGGGAATGAGGAGTGGAGAAAGCATGTGTTACTTGCTCCGTCCCAGTAAATCACTGACAAACTGCTAGTCTGCTGTCTGTGGATTCTTCAAGAATCAGTGTCAAATACAAGCTGATGAAAGAACAAGTGTTCACAGTGTAAGGAAAGCTTCAAAAGCTGCTATATTATGTTTTCTTGCTCTTAAAAACATGAGAGTAACACCAAACTGGGTCAGGAGGCTGTTTGTACACCAACGGCCAGCTCTTGTCTTTGCCAGATGGGTGGAAATATGGAGGTATTTTTCACTGTAATAGATCCCCTTATCTAGTAATCTTAATACCACAACAGAAGTACTATTAAGTTGCAAATACCCTTGTGATGACACAAAAAGCTTACTCTGTAGGAGGAACCAAAGCTGAAAGTACAGAAGGCTTTAAGTCTGAGATCACATGTGTGCTATTGCTTTGTGAATGCCTTATTTTAGCATGCTACAGAAAAACTTATGTTTAAAGCTTACGTTTAAAACTTATGTATGTGGCTTATTGACAGCACGGGCACCTCTGAAACATGTAAGACCAGGTACACACTGCTAAACAAATGTGTAGCTTTTGAGGCTCACTCTCTTAAGTGAATATGGAAAGAAATAAGAAGCTGGATCTGTTTGGACACTGGTACAGCTGAATATTCCCTGATATACAGTGTATAAATGGCTCCTATACCTTTAAGTGATTTTATTTCTAGATGTTAGCAAATTACGTCTGAACATAAAGCCCATGCAACTATTTCTTCCCTGGTCAGAAGTCTTCATTGAAGAACTAAGCCCATGTTTTGGCACAGTAGTTTGTTTCCATGGAAATGCAGGGATATTTCCAGTATGGGATTGTGACTCCTAGTGGGCTGTATCTGAGAAAGGTAAATTGGGAAGGCCACTTTTTAAGTACAGAAAAAAAGATTTTCTTGTGTCAGGGAAACAGCAAAAAATTCCCGTGAAGAAACAGGTGGCTGTGTAGTCATGTTTAAAATATTATTCCAGTGCAGAGGAATATCATGCCAACTATTTAAATAGACAAACTGAAGTCTCCTTGAAAAGCAGAGTCCGTCTGAATTGCTTCTCTCAACATGCAAAATGTGACCTCAGTGCTGCTGTTATTACCTCAAGCCATGCATTTTTATTCAGCAGAAGAAATCTTTCCAACACTGAGGTCTTTTTTGCCAGCCTCTGAGGCACATCCAAACAGACCAAATCTTTGTCACATCAGAGGCAAACAAAGTGCAGCAGCAGAAAGCTAAAAATATCTGGAATTTACCAATGAGAGCCCTAATAAGCCTGCTTTAGGAAGAGTTAAAGCTGATGATACTTGACAACACTTGGTTTTAAAACAAGTGGAAACACAGTGCTAAAAACAACCTGAAGTGTAGACCCGGTGATTCAGAGCCAAGCTGGCCATAGAATACTGTGTCAGTCCTTGAAGCAGCAACAAACCCTGTCTTTACAGATCCTTTTATCATGCAGAGTGGGAGAATAGGACTTGATACAGTTCCAGGTTAGAGGTTTTAGAGCTGAGGGCTGTGCTGTGCACTTGGGGATGTTTGCAGGAACATTAGAGGTAAGGAATTTTCCATCACTCTTAAGCTGCAGAGTGGGTGCATAGCTTTATGCTTTATGGGCACTGCTGCAGATGGGGACTGCAGAGCCTTTGTGCTTCTCTATAGGTGTGTGCTTGGTTTCCACTCAGAGCCCTGTATTGGGCATTGTCAGAAAAGGGTGCTGGGGAGCCACTGAAGCTCAGAACCAGAAGATTCAACCCTCTCATGATCAGTGACTCTTGCCTTGCTTCCTGGTATCAGATTTAGCGTCAAAAACATCTGTGGCTGCAAGAGGCTTAGTACAAGGTCTGGCTGCTCATGCACAGCAGAGCAGAGTGTGTGTTAAGCATATGAAAGTATACTGGGATGCACCTGGAGGTTTTGTCAAGGTCTTGTTTGCTGATCACTACAAATATATAATTTCTAGTGAAATAGAAAGGGTGCATTAAATATTGAGGTGTGTTTACAGCTCAGCTTTGTCTTCCTGCACAGAACACTTCTGTGTTTGAAGAGGTTTCTTGGGGTAAATATAAATTATGATCAATGTGGCAGCAGTTTCTTCTCATTGGAGACTGAAAAATAGAGTGAATTCAAAGAAACAAAACATACTGCTGCTACCCATTTTATTTGTTTGGTACTATGATAACTCAATTTAAATATAGACTGAAATACTACATTCTGCTTTGCATAATACAGAGCGTTTTTATTTATGGTCTAGTGGTTAAAATAAAAAACCAAGAGTCAAGAGGACAGGGGTCTGTTCCTGGCTGTTTTTCAACTTGTTTTGACCGTAGACAAACATGATATGGTCACAGTTCAGCTGAGTCCATAAACAAATGGCAAGTCAGTGATTCACCATGTTCCTAATTGAAAACATATGAGTTGTCCCGTGGGTTTCATTTGGGATTTCTTGCGGTTACAATTAGGCACGTTTACCACTTCGTCAGTTTGTTTACAGCACTGAACTCCCAGATGAGCACAGCACAAACGTGCACAACTCCATTGCCCTGCATGCAGGCAGGCACATAGCAAGCACGTGTTTATGTGGGCAGAGATGAACTGAAACCAGTGCTGTACGCAATCAGGGCTTCAAACAGGAGTGTCCAGTGAGGATGCTGTGAAGTGAAACGCCTGCAGAGGCTGTGGCAGTTGAGGTAACACTTGATGGGTCTTTGGAAAGAGAAATGCAAGGCAAGGGGAGTGGAGGTTTGCGCTCCCAGGATTGCCAAGCCAGCTGAGCATGTTAGTACAGAGGCTCCCACAGTACAGGTACCTCGGCAGGGTTTCCAGTTCTCATGGAAAAGAAAATCCTCTGCTGTGTTTCCAGTGGAAAATGGCAGCACCCTGCCAGGCTGTGCAAGCCAGGGAGTGAGTCTGGGCTCCTGTCAGAGCTGAGCAGTGTGACTCTGCTCCCAAAACTGAAGGGAAGCAACACCCAGGTGTGAAACTTAAACAAGACATTTCAGATTCCTTTCTGTGTAAGTAATGAATTATTTTAGCATAGAGAGCAGCACAGCTTGAAACGTTACTGTTTCCCTCTTGCTATGTTTCAGTGACAGAGCCTGACAACACTTTCCCTGACCCCGTACCACAGAAGCTGGAGTTGTTAGTATTTTAGAGCATAGATCCTCTTCTTTTCTAATTATATATGAATACTGGCATTGCTCTGTAATGGGTTATGAAGATAAGGGATACCTTTAAGGGAAGGTCAGTTTGTAGAGGTCAGATAGCATTCTTTACTACCTGGTTACTTCTGGGGATCCTCAGACCTCTGGCCTTGAGACCAACTTTCCTCAAACTGTGGCAGTATGTGAAATGCTTGCCCAACACCTACCAGTATGTTTGATACTGTTGCTTCAATATGGTTTATTTTTCAATGAAGTCCAGTGTCCAAAACACATCAAGGACTGGTCACTCACTGTTTCTCTCTGGATTCTCAGCTGGAGTAGGAGGTTGGGTGATCAGAAGTGCTGGGGAATAAGTATTTGGTGCTTCTGTGAAATAGAGTGTGGTTGGTTGTGGAGGGATGATCATCACAGATATCCTGGCGATAGCTGGCACTAAAACACCCAGCTCTGGGGCTATGTGCAGAGGAGATGTTGACAGAGTGAAGAGCTCTGGGGATAGATCTGTCCTATTTTGGGACTAGTCTAGGATCTCCTTTGATAGACATTGTTGAGGCAAGATACTTAGGTACTTGTATTTTATAGGGGATGGGGTTGTAAAAGGGGATCTCAGTCCTCAAGGCTTTAACTAAGCACTTTTCATCAGCACAATATTGATATAAGTGTATTTCTAATACATATCTGCATTATTTATGTGTGGTGCAATTCAGAGCAGCACTTTGATCCATCTCTTTAAGTCATGTTTCTGTAATTTCTGAAATGTATTTGCACAAGCTTAAGTATACATGTTGTGCCTGAGATGTATAATAAGCTGGATACTAGCCACTCACCTGGCCATGTGCGTTCCTAACTGCCTGATTTGCATGCCTTACTCACTGGGGAGTAAGTAGAAACTGAAACAATCTGTTTCTAGTTATTTTACTTTCATTTCTTCAAGATTTAACACAAAGTACCTGGACTGCATTTCCTGTGCTTCAGAGAGGAGGATAAACTGCTTGCATTATCTGTCCACCTTTTGGCTTATCTGTCTTTGTGTGACCTCTGGAGAACCCAGATAGCGGGTAACATTTCTGAAGATTGCATGTTTGTTAAAGCTTTTGCAACCCTTTGGAGGAGGTCATCACCTCTCATTTGAGAAATGCTGATCTTATCTGAACACCTGAAAGTCAAAAGCCGGTTAGTTTCATCTCCCAACCAAAACCCTGTGGGTAGACCAAGGTGTTTCAATTCCCAAGAGACTGAGTGGCCAGGGCCAAAGATGTGGGGGAAGGAGCTGAGCTGGTATGTAGCCAACGGATCAGAGCATGCGATGCACCAGCTGCAGAAAGCAGCTGCTCCTGTGAAGTCCCATGCCAATGCAAGGATGCTTATGGGGGCACTGTGAGCATTTTTTCCTGGGCTGCTTTTGGCTTCCAGCTGGGAGGGAAGGCAGGCAAGGAGCTGGCTGATGAAAGGTATGAAAATCCTCCAGGAGAGGCTTGGATGTCAGAGGGGAGGACATTGGCTAAAGAGACTGAGTGACTTATGGGATAAAAACAGAGTCAGGGATGAATGACACTTCAGGTTATCATTTAGTAGTCCTCTCCCTGCCTCTTTCCCCATAGGAGTTGCTCACTCTGCGGGCTTCTGTTGTTATTGCAGCAAACTCCTGAGCTCATCTTTCCCTTCCTAAACTGGGGTGCTGGTGATGGGGAGCTGCTTCCTCAAAGCCGCCTCAGCATGTTGTCACTGTTCTCAATTCAGGTCTTTTACCAGCACCAAACCCATAGTGGCTGGAAGGGAACTTGCTTGCAGGTACGCACTTTGAGGCAGCAAATACATCTCACAAAAGTGACATGGCTGAAGCAGCACAGGAAGGGGAGTTTATTTAACATTAGCTCCTGCGTCTCTCCTATGATCCATGACTGGCTTTTAAGAAGTGTCGACAAGCCCTGGGACAAGCCATGTTACATCTTCAATGAGAAGCTGCCCTGCCTGAATATGAAATCTGTGTGTGTGTGGAGGAGGAGCAAGGAAAGAACGAGCAGCGCTTGAGGGGCTTTTCTCCAGCTTAAACAGAGCCATCACATGCACTACAGCCTTCCCCAGCTATTCATTTTGAAACAAAACAGGCTTTAAACATTTATTTTCAGCGAAGCCTTCCAGGAGGTCTGCATACTTCTGTGGATCCTTTTTGCAACATCGTTCCAACTCATTCAGCTTTGTATTTAGAGCAAATTGGGTATCAAAAGTTATTCCTGATTATGCTGTGCATACCTGTAAGTTGCAGCATAGGTCTAATCTTCTGACTGTGTGTGCTTGCAGATCAGTGCACTGCAGTACAGTGCAGCACTCTGTGCAGGTTTGGTACCAGTTTATCCTGCAGTGCTTTTCACATCAGAGCATAAGCATGTTAAAGTACACAATTGAATTTAGATGTGCTACGTCAGGCTGACCTGGTGTGCGAGCCTCTCGCTGGCAGCGCCTTCAGATGTAGGGCAAAATTCTCTTCTCAGGTTCCCGGAGTAGCTTGTGACTCAGTCTCCCCAGTCTCCTGCACTGACATGTGCAGGCATTTTGTGGTGTGAAAGAAAGTGAGTGCCCTGAAAGGCGTAATCTATCACCAACTGAGGGATGGACAATAATGGCAAAGCCCCAAAAAGAGCATGAGACCCTTTCTTGAACCAGTTGCTCTGCATCTGAGAGAAACTCAAAAGGTTTGTGTCACTTGGGCAGCATGCTTATAGCCTCTTCCTCCTAATTATCACTGAGCTGATGACCTAAGACTGCTTTGTGGATATGAGGACAGAATTTTGCCTGCAGGATGCACGATTACCAACTGTGCCTTCTATATAAATCAGTTGTAAGTGTATTTGGAATAGCTGCCAGGCCGGCTTCTGAGCTTACCAGAGGACAGAGCTCCAGTGGATACAGTCCCACATGGCACAGAGCTGTTGCAGTTTTAAAATCAGTCTGATTTTTTTCTTTAACAGGGGAGCCCAGTGTAACTCCGTCAAGACTGGAGTGACACTCTGAATCTGCATCTGCCTCATGTGAGTTAAAATCCTGGCAGCAGCATTTTGCATAAGCTGGAGCCTCTGTAGAGATTTTTTTTTCCTTTTTTTTCCTTTTTTTTTTTTTTTTCCTTTTCAGGAAGGCTATAAGATTGTTACTGTGTCTTGGCAGCAAAGGTAAAAACAACCACACAAATGCATGAGAATTGCATACCTTACTGCTCAACCCCTGCTCCTTCCAGATTGGCTTCCCTCCTAAAATGTACTGTGTAAGGGATGCCTGCACTCATCACAGACCTGAAGGCTTGCAACGTTCACTCCTGGGGTACTGCTTTTTACCTTTCAATAGTATAATGTTAAGCCAAGTGATGGTATTAAGGGTAGGCTGAAATACTGTCAACTGGCTTCTCTGTTTTTTTTAAGCCTTTGGTTGTTTTCTTTCCACCCTGGTTGCATAATCCATGAGTGCTCGGTGTTGATTGCCCCGTGCCACTGAAGCATTTGCCTGTGTTGAGACACAAACTGTTAAAATAAGGTGGTCCTCTGGAGCTGGGGACTTGGCATGGTGGCAGAGACATGGCATCAAATAGTACGAAAGAGAAATCAGAGTAAGTTGTAGCATGTACTTTGGTCTTACTGTCTTTGGGTAAGGATGCTTTGAAAATGGGTTTGTAGCACTGCCTCTTCACATGTCACAGAGTTGGGGATGCTTGAAGACTGGGTCTTTCTCAGCTGTGTGAAAGAGCTGAGCATGGGAGACACTGAATGGCAAATACCTGAATTCATGGCATTGCCCTGGCACACATATTGCCTCCAGTTGTGGTCTCAGCAGCCAGCTCTCGTGGAGGGAGCTGTTCCAGGAGAGCTTAAAACTACTTTTTCATCATGCAGCTGCAGCAAAAAATACCGATCTGTCCTCTCTACTCTCTTTCCTCATGGATGCCTGAACAAAACAAGATATGAGAGAGAGCAACCAGCTCTGAGTACAATATTGAAATACGTTTTTTCATCTAGTAATACATATAATTGGAACATCTTCCCTGAATGTGCTGCTGTAGTTGCAGCAGTGTTAACCTGTTCATACTTGATCTGAAGGAGGTAGATTGTTTATGTGCCCAGAAGCTCATGTTACTGAAACAGGCATTCGCACAGCTCATGAGAAGTGTCAGTGAGTTGTGGCTCATACCAATGGATGCAGCATGTGCTGTGGTGTATAGTGCTGTCAAGGTGGGCTCGGTGAGCTCTCAGTCTGTTCCCAGCTGTGTTCTAAAGGAAAAGTTTATCTTGAACAGTAAGTATGATGGTAACTGGAGAACGGTTATTGTCCCTTTCCAGTTTCCAGGAGGCCAGTTTCCTGTGTCGCTGTTTAGTTTGTGAAGGTTCTCATTTTCCAGATACTGTGGAGTGGTAGAAAAGTAGGGAAGGGACCTGAGGCATGAGTGAGATAGAGGTTTAATTTCATTGAAAGAGACATCAAGGAAGCAAAATCTAGGGCTTGAAAGGTAAGAGGAATAGCTGTCCAGGCCTCACCCCCAAAACATTCAGATTAATCCTGTTGCAGTACTGCCTTAACAGAAACTTGGGATGATGAAGGCTGAGGTTGATATGTTCTTCAGCCTTTCCTGCTGGTGCTTCAGCTTGTTTCCTGAAAGTCAGAGGGTTAAAAGGGGGTCTGTAGTGATAAACCTAAGGCAGAGAGGGAAATAAAGGAAGGAATTGAGTGAGGGCATTTCGTGAGCATCTGGCCTCATGTGCCTCCAGAGCCATTCTCTGCTGGAGTGTTAACATAGGTTGTTTAACAGAGAGCCCTACTGTTTCCCTGGAGAGTTTCTGCTGGAGCTGTTGATGAACCACTTCTGCTTGTCCAGAGGAGAGGCCAGTGTGCTCCTTGAGATTCCTTGTGTCTGGGCAGCACCATTATGGTTGTTGAGTTCAGAAAGAGCAGGATTTCCTTGGGCAAACGATTTGTTTGGGAGTGATGTTTTATGGATGAGTTGGTAACATGGTCAAATTCTCAGGAAGCTAACAAGGAGAGTGCAGTAACCTCATGGACAGAGAGGGGGACTGGAGGCATAGCGGGGAGCTTTGCAGCACTTTCATCTTCCGAGTATGTGCAGGTGTATTTATTACTGTTTTCCTTGGGAAGTGCCTTTACTATCCTGCATTAGAGGAATTCCTTTTTCCAGATGATGCTCTGCTGTCTCTCTCACACTGTTTTTCATCGCCTAACTGCCTTTTGCTCCCTCCAACTCTAGCTCACTGCCTAGAATTGCCTTGTCAGTCACTGCTTTCTTCATTAGCTGTAGTTTCTGATTGCTTATTCCTATCTATAGTTCAATCAACCCTTCCTTTTATAAAGGATGGAAAAGACTATGTGCATTGAATATTATATCATGTTTTTGATGTTTACCATTGGTATAATAATGCTTGAATTGAAATTGGTAACTTTTATCGATTTCAGTTACCTGTTTAAGAACATTGCAGTTTTGCTTATTATGTTTTTAATGGGGAAAATTAACTCTTAGTGTTTTGGTGCTTTTTAGATTGGGATACATGAGGCCCCTGTCACAGTTCTGTCATCTGAGTCTTGACAGTCTCATTTCTTCTATAGTCCTCTTCTTTTTAGTATTTTTATAGTATTTTATATATTTGTTTTCTCCTCTCAGATTGAGTATTCAAGAGTATAAATACTGTGGTGACTACCTGGGCAGTACAGACAGTGTGTGTTAATATATATTGTGAGGTCCAGAGATGTGCTAGGTCTGTCTCAGGAAAAGCAGTCTGCCTTCTAACTAGCTTGGCTGTGTAACTTGCAGATTTTTGGTTTTCACTTAGCTAAATACGAAGTATTCAAGTGTTTGAGACAGTTGGGCCCATTGAACCCATGGTAACCCTCATGGCAGTCAAGGGTTGTATTTGACATTGTTACATCTTAAGATCGAGGTAAGACAGAAACATGCAGCGAATGTAAAGATGCCATCAGAGAAACACAGTGATTTCTGTTTGTTGTAGAAACACAGTGATTTCCTTTCAGATGTTAATTTCATGATCTGATTAAGCAGTAACATTTCCAGTACATGGGAATGTCATTTGCAGGAGGAAGACAGGCCTGATGGTAGTAATGACTTAGTTGAACAAGTCAGTTTCTTTTGCATTGAGCTAAGGTGTGTGTCACTGATGAGCAGCTTCTCTGAAATGTAAGAACAGTAAGCTTGCTTAGAAGAGTAGCATTTTGATGCAGAAGGGTAACAGCAAACAGATTTTCACAGTACCATATGGTATTATTAACAAACAAATCGTAAGTTAACTTGACAGCTCTACCTTCAAGCTAATCTAGTCTGCAGCAAACATAAATTCCTCTGAGATGAAATCTGAAGACAATACTAAGCTCTGGGATTGTATCCAGAGCAGTAACAGTATCACAGCAGTGATGAATTTCAGGCTTTCTAGCTATGAATACATGTTTTCCCCAGATTTATTGGTTTCTTCATCAGCTTTGCAAAAACACATCAAACCGAAACCAAGCAGGTGGAACAGGGAGCGTTCATGCATCTGCCTAACAGGACTGCAGGGAGAGGAGCTGCAGTTTGAAATACATTCTTCCTGATGCAGAGCTGTGATCGACTGATGGATATTTCATCTGGTGCACTCTGCTGCTGAAACCCGAACTGTGGCTCTGCTCGGCTGCAGTCCTGGAGCTTGAGTTAATTTCATTGCGGCTCCAGGCTGGGGGACCCAAAGCAGCAAAGGGCAGGAGCGAAGAAGGGAACAGGGAACGTGTGATGTGGAGGAGGGAGGAGGGGAAACGGGTACATTACTTTTAATTGCCTTCTTGTTTAACCCCCTAGCTGTTTTCAAATTTTCTAACTGAAATCTCATCTTGGTACAGTGTATAAATCCCCTGAATACGAATCTCTTGGATTTGACCTGACCGTAGAAAGATTAGTTTCCATTGGATACCCTCATGAGCTGCTCAATTTTGTGTATGATCCTGCATTCCCTACCAGGTAAATGACTAACAGATACTGACCCAGCCTACTCAAGGCCTGAATATTTGTTCTGTAAAGTTCATAGGCAACACGTGAGGCCAGGTTTTCAGAGTTGTGCCTGTGAAGCCTGTGGTTGACCACAGATCATGGGGAAGGGAGCAAACTGCTCTGGTTTGTGGAAGGCTTTTGAACACATGAATCCATGCCAGCAAAGGAGTGTGCAAGAAAAGAGGCCTCCTGAAAACATGGTCCAGAAATAACTTTTCAAAGGAAAGACAGCAGAGACACAATTGGACTGGAAGTTAAATCAAAATCAAGGGGTGAAGAAACCATTACTGTCCATCATGAGGCTGATAGAATGCCTCAGAACATTTTTCTTCAATGAATTTAATTAATAGTGTCCTGGTGCATGAGACATCCTGAAAACTAAGCTGACAATAAACAATAATAAAAGTGTAATCAATCCAGTTCACTGTCTAGATCAGTCAAACACCTAAAGCAAAGTGAATGGTGCCAAGTTACTAAATTCTTATATTTTGTCTTTTGGGAGCAGAGGTAAAAAGGACATTGCTTGTTTTAAGCAAGGCTTTTGATCTTACTCTGTGCCTTTAACTTGTTTCCACTTGTGCCTTTGCTGGATTTTTCTATTTTGGACTCCTTTGGAGGTTCTTTAGAAGAGATGGACCATAGGGTCTGTTTGCTTGCTGTTCCAGTTTTCAGTCTGGCAGCCTCCTTCCTTCCATCCTCTTGGCATGTTTTTCACCAAGACTCTTGCTGGGTGCACCCATGCCCCTGACAAGACAGTAGCCCTTCATAAACCTGTGATGAAGACACCATTAAATCCACTGCCTTCACCCAGGGTGGGAATAGAAGAGATGTCTCTGTGGGAAGACTTCATTCTCCAGATGCAAACTGCTAGATAAGTGAGACAGTGTTTTGCTGGAGTTGGAACCAGGAATGTCCAAAGCATTTTGTGCGATAGTTACATGTCCGTGTGTGAAAAAGAGGAGAGAAGTTCCTTTATCACACCTTGCTCTCCCTTGCAGCCCAGCAGGACTGTCAGGGAACCATAAACACAGGTGTCAGATTCGTGACCCTGTGGAAGAGGCCGCTGTCCTCCCTGGTATGTGCATAGCTAAGCCTCTGCCGGGTTAAATGGCTCTGTTTTCAAGTCTGTGGAGAGCAGATCAGCTGCACCTTTCACCTGACAGCGCAGGGCTCTTGTTGCTCACCTGCAGCCAGGTAAAAGGCACAGTAGGGACCACAACTGCATAGTAACAATAACTCTGGTTTATTCAGAGTGCTGTTGAAATGGCCAACGCTTAATGTGTTCGCTTCTTCATACCTTAAATCACTTTCTTAACAGAGGCCTGGTGTTTGATACCCACTATGGAAACCTGTTGAAAGTTGATGCCTATGGGAACCTCCTAGTGTGTGCACATGGCTTTAATTTCCTCAGAGGGTGAGTGCTGACTCTTGGCTGTTCTTTTGACTTAATATATGCTCTTTTGTGTCACTGATCCTCTGGGTGCCCATTGTAAAAGGAGTCATGGGGACTCTGCTAAAAGCAGATGTTGTATTGGTGTTCCTACAGCTCCAGGATTGACTGGGGATGCATTGAGACACAGCAACAGCCCAAGGTGTTTGTACAGGAAATGTCCGTACCAGCACAGGCACATCTCTGGTGTGCTGGGAATAGAAGGAAGTGTGCTGTGGGGAGGGATTGATGGCATAATCCAGGGCTGTTCACCTGTCATCAGCTGATCGGTTAAGACAGAGCCATTGTATGTGGGCTGCTGGGAACAGAAGTGACCTGTGCCCCATGAGACTGCCATCTCCACAGCCATTGCTAAGAAAGTTCAAGGGCCTGAGCTTGCCTGGGGAAGCAACAAGGTTACTCTACCCCTCTGTGTTTCTGACCTTTGAGGGTGTCAGAAGTGAGGCATTGTCTGCCATTTCCTGCAGCTTTCCCTGACTGCTTGTGTTTCTCTTGCCCTAGTAAAGGTGCTTTAGGGAGCAGTGGGGACCTCAGTGCTACATGCCTGATGGGTCCCACCAAATCCATTCGTATCGCTGTTGTGAGAGGGGATAGGATGGAAGGCAAGCACAGGCCAGCCCCAAGGTGACAAACCTTGTCACTGAAGGCCCATAAGTCATTGCATCATGAAGCTAAACTTTAGAAAAAGTTTTTGTCTTTGCACTCAGATTTCTGTTTGAGTCACAGTGATCTTCAGAAGCTCCAGAAATGAAGGAAACCAGAATAATTAAATGACTTTAGTCATTGCCACCCTGCTGATTAATTGCAGAGGGCCCCAGGCAAGTCTCCTGCAGCACAGCCCTGCACTCCCCTGCTGAAAGCTGCTCCAGGGAGTGTAAAGCAACACATGGAAAGTGGGGGAAAGTTTAGGATAAGCAAACAATGAAAGTGCAGATGATTGAAGGCATCCTCATAGCCAGCAGCATGGGGCTTAAGGTCGAGCTGTGGACTCTCGACCACTCAGTTTCCCTGTGTGGGCTCTGCTTAGTTTACTGACTCAGCAACGAGGGCTTTGTGCCTTGCTCTGCCTGAGCCAGCACAATGGGTGCACTGCTAATGCATGTGGGAAAGCTGGGTGACAATTAAAGCACAACAGCCTCTAGTTAAGGGACCTCACTATTTTGCAGGTTAGCACATTGTATCCTCATTATTTCTTGTGGTTTCATTCTTCTCCACCTTATCTATTCTCAGGCCTGAGACACGGGATCAATATCCAAATAAATTTATCCAGAGGGATGACACAGATAGGTTTTACATTCTGAACACGTTATTCAACCTACCAGGTGAGTCTAATGTGAGCCAATGCAGTTTGGTTTTGTGCCTTTGAAACCAATAAAGCTTTGCTCATGACATACTCTACGTATCTGTTTATTTCTTTTACATGAACTTTGTTTTTTTGGGCACAGGGCCTAAAGTTAGCTGGCTGTATGATGTTATCCTTGCCATAAAATCGTGCTTTGTTTCTTTGCAGAGACCTACCTGTTGGCTTGCCTAGTGGATTTCTTTACTAACTGTGACCGGTACACTAGGTATGTATTCCCTCTGGTTCAAGGTGCTGATGGTACAGTAAGATTATTATTATAAAGAGCAATTCAGCACAGATGGAGCTGTTCTTAATTTCGGTGGAGGCCCCTCAAGTGGTTTCAGTGGGGAAAAGTTCAGTCGTCTTTTGGCATGAAGAGAATTTAGCGGTGACAAGATGATCTGTGTGTACAGCAGAGACTGGTTATGAGGGTTTCTTTCACAGCATATATCAGTATCACCATGCTGACTAACACTGGTATTTGGGCCAGCTTATAAGACCACACACATATTACAGGGTGATTACAGGCACCAGACAGCTCATTTTGAACCTGTGACCACTGGAGCCATGTTTGAGCTGGTAACTGAAAGGCTAAATTTCCTCAGTCTGTTACCACAAGTCCCTCATGTAATAACTGAGGACTTTAAGGTGAAATGCTCAGGCACATTGTGCTGTAAAAGGCTGTTTGTGCAACATGAGTATTTACCTTGTTTTCAAATAGGTGTAAGCGTAAAAACAAGCTGTGGTTTGAACTGGCAAATGTGAATGTTGGTGTGCTGCTGACTCATGTGATGGGTCATCTTTGTATATTATGTGAGTGGAAGGCAAAGGGATTTTAATGGGATTTTACCTGGGAGCAGAGGAACTGCTTATGCTGACAGTCCATCAGGTGAAGTATCCTTCCTCATCACAGACATGATGATTGCTGTCATAATACATACAGCTCTGTTTAATCCTCCTTGATTTCTTCTGATGCAGACTCTCATGGATGTCTCAAAGATACCTCCATGTATCTTGTAGATGAAGTTTCTTATGTTAACCCTATACAACACAGAAGTAGTTCCTTCCTCTTAGAAGTGATTATTAAATTCAGTTGATCTTCCTGGCACCTCCTTATTTAATGTTGGAAATAAGGACTGCTTACTTTCTCAGTACCATTCATCTTTTGTAAAATGCTGCAAACTGTACAGCCCCAGTCTTTCCTTCTCGTAATGCCGTGGTGGAGAAAGAAGAGTCACGAAAAGCTGTAGTACTGCTATGGAGGCACAGGCCCCTAGTTAGAAACTTACGTGCTATCCATTTCAAGCAAATGTTCTTGTGTAACATGCAGATGCTGTTAAACTCTTGTAGCCTCTTTTCAAGACTGAGCTGCAGTAAATTAGTAAACAAGAATCCATTATGGTAAGGTGAAAACACAGGCTCCAAGCAACATTTGAACTGTCTTTCTCCTTGATGTGTTTCTTACCTGTTGTGATTGACCACTGCAATCTGTTTTCTCCTCACAGCTGTGAAACAGGATTTAAAGATGGAGACCTCTTCATGTCCTTCAGGAGTATGTTCCAGGATGTCAGAGATGCTGTTGACTGGGTTCATTACAAGGTGATTGTGAGAACTCATTGAGATGTCTGTAGTTGTAACTGAGTTAGAGGGACTGGTTTATAAATCATGAGTTAAGATTTGTTATTCTACTTTTGGGCAAGAGCCCTGCTTTGCCGCCTAGTGAGCAAATAGTAAATTGCAGTTGTATAAAAGTCAAGATCTTGACTGCCCTCCTTGTACTGGAACATTTCTGTCTTGGCTTCCTATTTCTTTTTATTGCGTCCAGGTTCCATTTCTGCACTGTAATTAATGGGGTTTAGAACTAAAAGTCCACAACTTGTACTTTGTCTTAATGATTACAATGGCATTTTACTGTAAGTGGTTTACATTGGTACTGTCTTATATTATCTGGAAAGTACCTGCATTAAACAGAAATACATCAACTCTTCCCTATTTAGAAAGGAGGGGCAGTTCACCCTTTCACACTTATGTGCAAATTCAGAATCTAATTTT